CTAAATATTATAAGTACCCTACTGACGTTTTTAAATATTTTTGCATATTGTAATATGTTGTAATATGTTGTAATAATACACAAGATGTATTGAGTATAATCGACTATTTAAATATTTTGCATCTCTTACTATTACTTTGTATTTCTCTAATATATACATATATTGTAGTAATAATAACATAAAATATCGTTATTACTGGCACATTAGATATTCAAGTTTATTAAATATATAATACAATGAATAATTAACTGTTTGAATACTTCTATAGTGCGAGATGCATGTATATTTATATATTTTGTAATTTCTACGTATATGATACATTTGATCGCATTAGAATGTTAATGCAATATAACACGCACAATCTAATATATGTGTCTGCGCGAAGTTCCTGTAGGCGCGTTCGGATACTTTTATGAGTGACTCGAGAACCTCGAATTCGACTCGGATGGTTCGTTTCCTTTCCCACAGATTTCCATCCAGCGAGGCTATCGATTATTACGGCGTCCTTCACGAATGGAACGCCGCGTACGTTTAGTATCGACGAATCACCTTGCGTTTGATGCCACTACGTAGTCGCGTATCTTGCAGTTAATCATCGCGGGTCGTGCAATCAGCGATCATTAGGGCAAATAAATAGCCGCGAGGCAAGAGTGATGCGGCGGCATTGTCAATTATGATCCAGTTGGATCCTCTTACGTCCAAGTAAATTGCCAGGTGTTCAAGCAAAATATTCGAAGCTCGTCAATCGACGACCAATCCAAGCGTGAACCGATTATATTCGTGCAAGCGCGTAAGCCTGCGTCGTGTCGTCGCGTCGCGATTAGACGCCAGGACGATGCTGGCCAAAGCAACTTCGGCCATGTCGTCTGCATCACGTTCGATAAGTCTTACGCAAAAGCAGCGGTTTCCTAGCGACTGACTTGGGTGAGCCAACCGGTCGTCGTACGTAGTGCCGTTCCATGTTTGCTCGAACCTTTTGCAAATCAAGTCCATTATTCGCTTGTGTCTAGCCGAACGTCCGTGGACGTTCACTAGTTTTCGCTTCGAAACTTTCGTGACTTGCCCCCCGTAAGACGGCGCTGAGCTTCTCACGGATTCGTCCGAGACCGAGATCTCGTGTCTCTTTGCGGTGAAAGAATTTTCTGAACAGAGATTTTCCGAAGGTTTTCTTCTTCTTTTTTCTTTTTTTCTTTTTTCGCGATTCGATGCTAATTTCATTGCGTTCTCGCCTTCTTGAAATTGAAAAGACGTAGTAAAATCACAGCCGATGTAAATTTTATATCTATTCTCGAAAGATATTTAAAGCTGTTTTTTGCCCGCTGAAGTAAGATTGGAGTATAAACTCCGGGATAAGATTAAGAAAAAAGAATTTAATCAGCCTCTCTGACGTAATTTGGAGAAAAAAGATAGAAAAAAAAAATAATCGCCTAGCCAATGAAGATAATTATAATTAATTTAAGAATATTTTCTTTTTTTATATCTAATCAAAAGAATAATTATTAAATAATTAAACATTAACGTCAAACGTAATCAAGTTGTTAGATACACTTCGAGTACGTATAATTGCTTATAAATTCGTTAGCATACTTGGTGCGACAATTACATGCAAAGATATTAGAAATTACAGTGCAATTAAAATAATAATCCGTAAATTCTTATATTAGAACGCTGCGTTCTGAATTCTAATGATTCTTCGTAAAATATGTATTAGGTGTAAAAGTTAATTTTGTACTTTTGTGATACGTTGGAGTAATTGTAAATCCCTCCAAAATTTAAATATGTGTTTATGATAATTATTGTAAGAGATTTTTGATTACCAATATATTATTTCAGTCATAAATTTATCATTGACATTAATTTTTGCTATTATTGAAATTAATTTTGTGCTTTTATTGAATCGTTTATAAACCTAAACTTCTAAACTACAGTATTGCTACTTTGATATACATATTTGTACAAGATCTTTATTTACTAACAAGAATTATTCATGTCACTAATTTACCGACAAATGAATGAACTTCTACACCTAACTTATGAACAACCGCTTAGGCAATATATTGAACTATAACTGCAGAACTTTTTCATGCAGTTTGTAATTCAAGTTTTACGAATAAATTTTTGGTCCTACGTTTTCTTTCTCTACATTTTGTTCTTCCTTTAATATTTTATTTTTGATCTGCACTTTAACAGATTTATCTCGCATTTCCGACAAATTAGCAGCGTTATTAAACGAAACACGTGAGGTAATAAATATTTTTTTCATCAAAAAAAAAAAAAATACTTGATTGCAGAATTATTGGCGATTGTTAAATGAATCGATTAAACGCACATACTTGTATGTATAATTGCTCCGCCTACTGCAAAGGAAAATGATACTAAATATTAATAAATGGAAATGCGATAAATTATACAAGAACTGTGATAATTGCACGTGGCAATGGAACTTTATTCACGTGTATTGAAATATTATTCAATAATAAGAGCCAATAGATCGATTAATAGATAGATTTAAACGAATCATTTTCCTTGCGGCTATTTTTAAGTTTCTTTTTACTTAGAAAAGAATAGAAATTTACATTTTATATATATTTCTACATTTTGTTAATCCGTATTTCCTCCTACCGTACCTGGAAAATCATCAATAAATGCAGAAAATTTAATGATCTTTATCTGATAATCATGTTGTTCGTATGGTAATTTTCGCATGCATGAATTGCAGCCACAGAGTTGCAACTTGTGTCATTGCAACTTGTAACATCCTTTGTCTGTTATTTTAGACTAACAATCTATAGAATAATCAACATTAATCAATACATAGATACATATTTACTTATTTTGTTCTCGCTGTTTTCTAATGTAGATTAGATCTATTAATTAAAATTGCTAATCGAACGTAATTTTCTCGCATGCACGTCATTCTTAGAATAGAATAGAACATTATAACATAAATATTTATTTCGTCTATTAAATATATTAACTACTTTGCTCTGGATATTTTATTTGTAATTGTAACGATGCATTTGAAGAATGTGAAATAATTTTTACGAAATGAAAAGATAATAAAAGGCAATAAAACAATCTAACAAAGAAGAAATTTAATAAAAAATTTTGTAAATTTGCACTGTTAGATACACAAATCTCCGCGGTTGAATGATTCATTACATTATCGAATTATAATTCAAATGTTCGTTATTAAATCCGCACATCCTCTCCATAATTTTTCTCAACACGTGACTAATCATATTTGTAACTCCTTATACAAATAAATTCAAATCGATTCAAATCGATGCGACGCGAAGTGAAAGAAATGTTTCTTTCGTCGTTTAACAATAAAAACTGCTAATGAATGCTAAGGCTCAATTTATAATATTAAAATATTTATTATCAAACGCGGCAAGAGTATTTAAAGAGGCAAAAAATCGAGAGGGCATGTAGTTTCGTAGATGCGATCGGGGAAATTGTTCCGTTCGAAAGCAGTTGCGTTCCTGTTCTTCTTCTTCTTCTTCTTCTTCTTCCATCTGTTCTTTTCTTTCTTGTGCTGAATATATAGTAAGAGCTTTTCTTTTCTTTTCTCTTTCATTACGTAAGACAACGCGTTCATAGGTCAATCGTACTTTTCATTCGATCACGTTTCGTAATCGTGGCGATTAATTAAATATTATCGTCGAACATTAGGCAACACCGTGTAACGATATGTATGGCGTAAACATCAGACTTAAGGTGAGAATTTTCGGTGACGCGGATATATGTAGTGCAAAAGGAAAAATATAAGTAACGTCGTCGACAATCGGCCGAATTTATTCCGTGACTTTGACCGCGATCCGTGCTGCGTCCGCGTGGTCGTCTCTGGCGGGACAAGTCGGACAATCCCGGTTGACAGAAA